AGTAGCGCCTAGGAGCGGCTGCGCTACTGGACCAACCCAGCAGCACCCCAGCTGCTCTGCCCCAGGCGTCCCCAAGTCAGCCGCTGCTGAAACTGACCAGCGGCTGAATCTGGACGCCAGTTCCAACTTAGGGACTGTAGGTTTGTTCTTAAGTTGAATCTGTATGTAAGTCGGAACTGGTACATATTGTAGGGGAAACTCTAGCCAAACATTTCTCCAGAGCTCAGTTTTATTCTCCCACACCTCACTTCCCTCAGTCCTTTATTCTCAAGCTGAGGTGTCTACTGAGAAAAGCCGCTTCGCGTCTCCCTCGTCTGCTGGGGGGAAGCAGCTAGTGCGGGGTTGCCTCACCCTGTTTGTAAGTAGGGATCCGATGTAAGTCGGATCCATGTAACCCGGGGACTGCCTGTATACACCAATATGATACCTTTGTTCGCTGCAGGTCATGTCTCGTTGGGAAGAATATATTAGCAAAGTGAAAGTTAAAGGTGGCAAGCTTCCTGATGTTGTGGATGTCTCTAGTTTCTTCCCTTTTCGCCAGTACTTTGCAAATGCCCCTCAGCCAATTTTTAAAGGCAAATCTTATGAAGAGGACATGGAAATTGCTGAAGGGTGTTTTAGACACATTAAGAAAATATTCACTCAACTTGAGGTAAGATTTGTAACATTTCAATTTACTGGATTTTTTTTAAGTATGTATTTGAGGGGACATTTTTAAAAAAGGAAATAAATAGAAATATATAGACAGGCAGTTCTCAACCAGAAGTGTGCATACCTCTGGGGATATGTAGAGATCTTCCAGTGGGTAGATCAGTTCATCTAGATATTTGCCTAGTTTTACAACAGGCTTCATAAAAAGCACAAGCCAGTACAAACGAACATTTTATTCAGACAATTACTTTTAATACTGCACAGTATATAATATACTGTACACTGAAATGTATGAACAATATTCATATTCAGATTTATTTATAATTGTATGTTAAAATGAGCAAGTAGGCAATTTTTAAGTAATATTTTGATGTGACACTTGTATTTTTATGTCTGATTTTGTAAGAAAGTAGGTTTTAAATGAACTGAAACTTCGAGTTGTGCTCTCCAAATCTGACTACTCAACAGGGTGCGGTACTCGAGAAGGATTAAGAGCCACTGATCTAATCTGTGTCTTTGTTGGATTTAAAACTATATGGGCCTAATTTCCTAATCTCTAAATTTGATCCTATGAAACAATAAAAAACAGTCTCAAATAAAGAGGGAACCGTTGAAAGCAAGTTATTTCTGAAGAATGAGTCTTCAAACTATTAGGCAATGTGTTTGTATTTCAATTTTGTGGGTGTATTTGTATAGGTCCTATTTGAAATTTTGTTTATATTTCACAGCTGTGTATTGCTAGAGATAAGAAATTAATCCACTGTGAAGTTATTGTTGGCTAGTACTTTTTACCTATATCTTTTTTGATAGCTTTTGAGTCCATAATTCTGTTGTAAGCAATATCATTTTGAATTCTTGTTCTTGAGAGAATGCTTTTTTGCCTTTCTGTAGGAATTCAGGGCATTTGAACTCCTCCGCAGTGGCCTGGATAGATCCAAATACCTCTTGGTAAAAGAAGCAAAGATCATTGCAATGACTTGTACTCATGCAGCCTTGAAACGACATGACCTCGTTGAATTAGGCTTTAAGGTAATGATTCCAATAATGGCAATATGCTAATCTAAAATATTTTCCTGCATTAAGTTTTCTATATTGTAAGCATAGACCACTACATCGTATTGATTTACTGCCATTTTTTATATGTTAAATTACCCAATTTTTCTTTTTTACTGGAAAGTAACGAACATAAGAACAAGCTCAGATCTTGAGTATTGAAAAGTGTGAAGATGTCAATTTGAATATTGCTTGCATATGTCAGTGTGCTCTTTGTCAGAGTCATGATTTGTTTGTTTATTCCATACATGTATTTTTTTGAAGAAATCATAAATTTCTGTAGTAATAGACTGTGATCAATTGTAGTGATGTGATTGCATGCAAAGATAAAAGCAGATAAAAAACTGAAATAAACAAGACCCTCTTGACATGTTGCTTTGCTAAATAATGAACAATTTGAAGAAGAGGATCCTGTAGCAACACTTGCTTTTTCCATTCTGGAGTGTCAGTGTCTGCTGCATTTTCACTTAAGTTTGGTCAGCGCACGGTGTTTATCCTGGTATAGCTATTTCAGTTAGAGATACAATACATTATAGATCAAAATTGTTTCACTTTAAAAATGTTAGTTTGATTTTGGTGTTTGGTCCTTCTTCCAAGGCAGGCAAAACTATTTGGAGATGGGACAGGGTAGGTTTGTCCTTTCCACCTCCAAACTAAATGTGGCTACTATGTAAGTAATGGATTGGAGCAGGATAAAGAGAAGAAATACAGTTGCTTGTCTCCCTGGTGAATATGTCTTGAGCAGCAACTGCTGCCCCTCCTCCTGCCATGGATCTTCAGATGTGTGAATGGGAAGGAAGAGCTTAGGGCTTACTCCTAAAACGTAAAAGTAAAGGAGGAAATAGGAGCCTAAAGCAAAATAAATTGCAAACTTAATGGAACAGGATTGGTCTTCAGTTTATTCTGTCAGTGGTAAAAGCCACAGTTTCTTCTGAAAAGGAAGAATAAGTAGGCATACAGTTCATTTTGCACTTATGGACCCTATGTACTGAGTACTGAGGGGCATTGTAGGTTGATGCCGATAATGAGATATTTTAGTTGCAGAAGAATACTGGTGGACTTTATTTAGGTTCTAATGGAAATTTGCCTTCATATTCACAGATGCTTCTCAGACATAAAAGAAATGTTTCTGGTACTTTGTAACACGTCTGTGAAAAGTTAATTTCAGTTGTCTATAAATATGGTTCTGAAATAACTTCTTCCCATCATAAATGTACTGCTGTTTCTGTTTTTTATGTTTATGGATCAGAAGTTTTAATTTCTCTCTTCTCTCTCAGTATGATAACATCTTAATGGAAGAGTCTGCTCAGATTCTGGAGATAGAAACTTTCATACCTCTCCTCTTGCAGGTGAAAATTTCATTGTAAAGTAAATTATTCCTCTCTCAAATCTTGACCAGTATGACTGAAAGTGTGGTATGCATTCATGAGACTAGTATTTGCTTGTAACGTTTTAAATGATTTTGGCATTATGGGTTTATCGGTTTCATCCTCAAAAGAGGGCCTGTTACTGAAAGTTCCAGAGTACCTGCAGTTTCCATTGAAGTAGCAGGAGTTGGGGAAGAATTGGCACTTTTAAGATCAGGCCCTTAGTTCATAAACTCTGCATTATGAGTAGAGCTCTGTGTGTCTCATATTGTTCAGAGATTACATGACTGTCCGTGACTTCTGTAGCAGTCAGTGTAGCTGATCCCGGGGTTCTAAATAGGGTTCTAAGCGCTCCAAAATAGTCATGCACATTCAGGATTCTCTTGAAATTTGCTGTACCTCATAGGATCCAGGGGAAACTTATTGATCCAGATTTGGAGTCATTTGAACAAGGGATTTCTGGAATGCAAAAGAAATCACCTGATTTTTCTCTCTGCACACATCAGAGGTTCAAACTATACTTCACATTCTCTACAGCTTGATTACAGCCACTCAGGAATGATCTCAGCTAATGCACAGATCCCACTGCTCCCTTGGGGAAAGCCACATTGTAAAAGTTAAGGGCAAAGTTTGTAACTCAAAGTTGGCACGAGTTAAACTGACATGGCAAAGAGTGAAATGTACGAGGTCTTTAACAGCTAGAGAAGTTGGGACACTCAGTTGATACAGTGTGGTCATTGAAGCTGAGCAGTACCTGTGTACTGAGAATTCAGACTCTGCTCATTGCAGCTTTCTGCAAATGAGTCTTGTGTGTTCCTAGCTCTTTGCCTGGTTTCTGCAGGGTTTCCTTTTGGAATCTTTGTACTCAGACCAAACTTTCTGGTTTAAGAACAGTGTTGTAAAGTTCTATTAAAATCTACATGCAACTTTCGATTTTAATTTAGAAATAGTCATGGAAATTAGCATTAATTTAAATGGAGGAAAGATAAGTCTCCAGTGTGCATTTAACCTAATGTAATCACAAGTTTACCCTATTCCTGAGCAATGGAAACAAAAGAACAGTGAACAAACGAAGTAAACAAAGGAAAGCATCTTGCTGAGTTACTTGGTCCAAGGGTTGCTGATATACAGCCCTCTTACAAACAGAACACGTTACATTTTCAGATTCCTGTAACTGTTTTGGTGCAGAGCTAGGGAAAATAAGGGCTCAGAGAAGCAAGAATTTATGTTTTGGGGGCTGAGAGATTGAAGTATAGAGTTGGGAGGGTGCAGTGTGGGGCCTTTGTCCCTTTGCCAGCTTTTGCTACTTAGGGCTGTGCTCTGGCATAGTTACTAAGGGTGTGCCTACACTGCACCTGGAGCTCAAAATAAGCTATGCAATTTGAGCTACGGAACTTGCGTAGTATATTTTGAGTTAATTTTGAAATTTGGCGCTGTCTACACAGCACTTATTTCGAAAAAAAATGCTATTCCAAAACTTTCCTTACTCCTCGTGGAAAGAGGTTTACAAAGATGTTGAAATAGAGAGTCCGTTATTTTTCGAAATAATGAGCACCCTCAAAAGATGCGGAATAGCTGGCTCCCCACACTTACTGGTTCCCGCCTGCCACCCGGTGCCGCTGCCATTGAATCATGCTTATTGGTTATCTGTTTGCACAGCTAAGCTCTTACATCCCTAGTTTACAGTTGAATGTAATTTAAAAACAAATTATATTAAATATTGAAAAATAGTGCTTACAACAAAGATAATATAACCTTTATTAGAATTATTTAATTCTATATGATAACCCAGGTTAATTCTGCAATTAAATTGTGTTAATTTAGAACCCTCAAGATGGTTTCAGCCGACTGAAACGATGGATTATGATTGGTGACCATCATCAGTTACCACCTGTCATTAAGAATATGGCTTTTCAAAAATACTCCAACATGGAACAATCTCTTTTTACACGTTTTGTTCGAGTGGGGGTGCCAACTGTTGATTTGGATGCTCAAGGAAGAGCAAGAGCAAGGTAAGATGAAGGAAAAAAGAGAGGAGGTCTTATTCACAAGTAACAGGTCAAAAACATATGGCTTTGAATAACTGCGTCCTTAAATAGTAAGGCCAGATTGGATCTGATGTTATCCTTTTAACAGCTAGTAGAGGTGGAAGTATCTTTCTAAGGAGCTGGTTCATTGACCAAATTTTTAAGAACATTGAAATCAGACTCTAGATTCTGCTACCACTCTCTTGCAGGGCAGCCCAAGACGTTACACCAATTCATTACATGTCTCAGCATTAAATAGCATCATAAACACAGGCCCATCCAAGTTGCCTATTCTTGATGGTAACAAAGTTCCCTCGAGTAGCATGACTACTCTTGCTACTGCAAACCAATAATTAGGGCAATTTTTCCTACCTTGGATCTGTACATAGTACTGTATGATTTCATTGTCCAGCTTTGTTTCCATTTTATAAATGGTAAAAACTAGATGAGGGTCTGAAATCTCTGCTCTCAGAAGACACTAGCCTTACTGCATCTTCCACAGGATCAACACTGTAATTTTTCCAGAGTCATTTGTATCCAAGATTGGTACCCCATAGGAAATAATTCTGCCTTATTAATAACGATAATACCTAGCTTGTATGTAGTGCTTTCCATCAGTAGCTCTCTGAAGTGCTTTATATAGGAGGTCAGCCTTGTCTGCATTTTATGGATGGAGAAGCTGATAGAGGTGAAGTCATTTGCCCAAGATCACCTAGCACGCACTTGGCAAAGCCAAAATAGAACCTAAATTGCATTCCATTATCCTATCCACTAGTCGTTCATTTTATTCAGACTTAATATCCAAAAGGAAAAGCATATAAATAGTTAAAATATATGATGTTGGCATCTATCCATATAGGAAAATTTTTTTTTAATTGTCATATCTGTGTCTGAAGCATCTAAATTGTTCTTGGCTAGGTGGATCAAGTTCTATGAGCAGCGTATTCAGCTATGGATAAACCGATCCCAGAGGGAATAAGAGCCCACTCAGCTCATTCATTGTAATGTCTTAGCCAGAAAGGGCATCAGCCACCATAAAGGAAATCTGTAAAGCTGCCACTTGGTCATCTATCAACACTCTTATAAAAGCCCCACAGGCTTGACCTGCATTCCTTTGCAGAAACATCCTTTGGCAGGAAGCTACCTAGCAGTGTTCCCAAAATAGATTAATTTTAGAGGAAGAATTCTTCTTCTGTCCCATTTCTTTCTTCCTACCTATTTTCTTTATTGCGGTTTGTCCCAACTGTTTCTGACTGGGAGGAGTAGTTAGAATCCAGAATTGGAACATAGTTTCCTTATTTCTGAGGCTGGCTTCTCAGTCTGCCCCATCAGAAATATGCTTTCCAATTCTCTATATGACGGTATTTTCAAGGCCCCCAACTGTCATCATTAAATTATATTTAATCTACTCATAATTCAGTGTTTTCATGTGGCTCTATGTAAAGGCATATTTGTCTATGGGTATGAATATACTCAATCTAATTTCCTCTAGTATTTGCAGTAAGATAGAAAACACTTAAAAAACACTTTTGAACATTCTGCTTTAAGTAACCTCTCAAAGAATGCACAGGCAGACTGTCAGAGAACAGAAAGTTAAGCTCTGGGTCTCTTGAATGTCTGACTAGTGCCCTAACCTTTGTATCATCCTTTCTTCTGGAACCAACCTCTTCCATGTGAAAAAAAAAAAAAAATCTAAGTGATTTACATTTTGCAGCTCATTGACTTTAATTGGGACTTAAGCTCCTACATGTCCATCATTTCTGAAAAATTCTTTTGAAAAGTTTACTACTATGGGAATGTCAGATCCTCACATCACTCTTTACCAGAAGATCTTGGTAAGATATGTCCAGGTTCTGCTGCCCTTCATCTGAGGGAAGGGAGAATTGCAGCTCAGATTACAACCATGTGTTGTGATTACACTATTCTCATTCTCCAAATGCTTTGCCATCTTCCTCCCATTAAGCTGAGTAGTGAGACCGCATATTTCCTACTGTGGAAACAGAAGCAAAAAACTTTTAAAATACCAGGCACCATTTATGTAGCAACGTATAGTAATGAGGAAGATGAAAGAAGAATTATATCTATCTGGTTTGCATGTCACTTTTAAGAAATATTTTTCATCTGTGACAGGAAGGAATTCAAATTCCTCTTACTATTTTGTTTTGTTTTATTTCGTTTGAAAGCTTGTGTAACCTCTACAATTGGCGTTATAAGAATCTGGGTAACCTGCCTCATGTGCAACTTCTACCAGAGTTTAGAACTGCAAACGCTGGATTTCTCTATGATTTCCAGCTTATAAATGTAGAAGATTTCCATGGTGTGGGAGAGTCTGAACCCAATCCTTATTTCTATCAGGTAAGAAAAAAGATTCAGTGTTATATTAGAAATAAAGCATTGAGCCTCATTAAACCTGAAAAAAAAACAAAGATAGAATATTGATTTTTTTTTTTGTCAACTGAAGTTGAAGTAAGTTTTCAGAGCATTACAGTATTTTTTATATTTTTGCATATAAAAAAAATTCAGCTTTTAGTGGTGATAATAATTCTTATTATAAAGCTATGATCTCGATCTTTTAATAATCGTAAGGATTATTGTACGGGGAACAGGTGTTTGCCTCTCACACTGAATAATGATTTTTCTTGACTTCCTTTCCATTCTCCAAAAGTAGAAGTGAACATTACTTTTTTTCCTTGTTTGCATATTTTGTTGCAAATAAATAGTTTTTTGGACTAGTGACAGTTATAGCCAGTTATCCTGTTCATCTGCTTCAGCATTTAAATACCTGGCAGAGTTTTATGTCCTTGGAAATGGAGGATTTGTTTTGAGGTCCATGTCCAGACTGGGAGAGTCACTGTTTTTATTGATCTGCATATAGTGTTCCAAAAAATGGTTTCACAAGGATCAAATTGAACTATGTGTATATTGTGTGCATGGATGTATATATTTTAACACAGTATTGTATAATACTTTGTATAACATGCTCAAGTATAACTACCATCAAAGCAAGCATTAAAAAAAACTATGAAATTCACAGTTCAATTATGTCACATGCGTAGTAGCCAGCAACCAGTTTTAGATAAAGCACAGTCTTCAATCTGACCTCATTAATGATGTGTTCATTCTCCATCACAGTGAAAATCTAATGTCCCACACCTTACGTTCTGTTCCTTTGTTAGATAACGCTTTCTTGTAAAAACTGTGGTACAGATATACAAAAATACGAACTGATGTTACAGTTTTTATTGTGAAAGTCTTGGATATAATTTACACAGTTAAGGATTTTCATGATTGTGTATGAAGATTTTATTTTTGTATCTTGTAATTTTGTAAGGGGTATAAAGATGTTTGTAGATTATGGCTGTGTTATAATGAATGTATCACTGCTATAACACCATCCTTATTTTTTATTCATAAGGACATCAGTTGTTCTGTAGTATTTGGAAGCCATAATACTAAAAAAGATGGGATTTTCAAACATCATCAGCATTATACTAGTTTTGCCACCAATAAAATCAGTGGGAATTTTACAAGTGGCTGTAGTAGGATTGCTAAGCACTGTTGAAAAATCTCAACCTTAAAATTTATTCAGAACTATGATAAGTAATTAGGGGTAATTAATTAGAGGTTCTGTGGTTTTGAGGCTGTATAAATAAGAATTGTAACTTTGCATTATCTCCTGTTAGGTGGAAAGCCTATTTACACACATCTTATTAGCATTGCGCTTTTTATGTAAATATTTTCTTTGTCTGTTCATGTCACACCAATAGTAACAGAAGAATTTTTATTCAATTTATATATTTTAATTGTCCAGCACATCAGCCATTGTAACCACAGAAACATTAGTTAGCAATATATGTGGACTTGGATTTTCAGCAATCCCTTTATTCATGAGGAGCCTAAATAGATGAATGAAACCTAAGGCTATCGGGTTCATACCTCTTTTTCCTATAATTTGCTTATTTTCCAGTGCTTTGATTTATTTCAGACATGGGTCTTCTGAGCACCAGAATGCTTCTGTTAGGTTCAACTTACTCCTGAAATTGGCAGCACAAATGAGCCACCTAACATTTTATTTTCCTTTTTAAAATGCAGAATCTTGGTGAAGCAGAGTATGTTGTGGCACTCTTCATGTATATGTGCCTGCTTGGTTACCCTCCAGACAAGATAAGTATTCTGACAACCTATAATGGACAAAAGCACCTAATCCGGGATGTCATTAATCAGCGTTGTGGAAATAACCCAATTATAGGCCGACCAAACAAGGTAATTTTCAAAATAACCAAATACTTATTATCATTCTCTGACTTTTTAGAATTATAAGTTACAAAAGAGTATAACCATGTAATTTCACCAATATCTACACAGTGAGTTCTTTCTTTGAGTCCAGATGTTCTGTTCACTGGAATGCTTTGGATAGACCACTGTTCTGAAGGTGTTACTCAACAGTACCTTCATCCTTTCATTTTTATTTGTTTGGACTCTTGGATAGGCTATATTAAATAGATGAAAGATGGTACTCCCAGATTGAAAACTATAAGGATAAATTAATTGGCTGACGGTGTTACATAATAGGAGGACCATAATTTATTAACAAAAGGCCTTTCCAGAGTATTGATGCCCATTAGGTGAAATATCTATTAAAAATCCTAATTAACGAAATACTAACATAATGGTAGGAGTTTGTGCAGGGTTTTAGGCTATAATAATTGAGCTTTTTATTTATTAAGTGGTGATGCTATTTCAAAATCTGTTAGTATTATTATCCCAATGTTAGATGGTTGAACAGATCATGTATATACAGGTTGGAGAGGAAATTTGGTACTGCAAATAAAAAGTAAGAGGGGCAAGTGTTGGATCAGGTGTTTAGCAATTGTTGCTGCACAATTGGAATATCACTTAGTTAGTGGGAGCAACTGAGTGACTGTGAACTTTAAATGGCAGAGAACTGTTTTTCCTCATATAGTTTTGATAGCAGACTAAATATAAAAACATAGATTCAGCCTTGAATATGAAGGTTTGTTGTTTCTGGCACAGTAAACACCAAGGATAGCTGAAAGCCTGATTTTATGGGTGTCACGTTAGAACTAGCATTCCAACATTTAAGAATTCATCAATGAATGTCAAAGGTGTTCAACTCTTAATTTTTTTGGAAATTGTAAATACTCATCTCATCTCTAAATCAGAGTTAGCTGCAAATACTGTTGATAATGTTCTGTGATTTTTGTTTTGAATACTTTCATAGTCTTCAAGCTACTTCAGTCTCTCCAGTAAAAAAAAGTTGTTTTGTGTTCATCATAGTCCCAGCCCGTAAAGGTTGATGTTTTTCAGGCACTAGTTAGAAATAAACCATAAAAAAAAAGAGATTCCCCTCGTCCCAAGTCATCTCAACCTTCAGCATAAATTCAGCATTAAACTTTTTGATACTGGGGGCCAGTTTGCATCTAGTAAATTCCAAATTATTCTTAAAACCTTTGGAAATACAATTTTTTTAGAAGATACAGTAGATTAATTCATTTTAATTTCTTTCTTTTTACCTTTTAGGTGACAACTGTAGACAGATTTCAAGGTCAACAAAATGATTATATTATCCTTTCATTAGTGCGAACCAAAGCTGTCGGTCACCTTAGGTATGTAAAATATATCTTCACAAATGCATTAAAATGTGTAATTCACTTTGCCTAATTTTACCACAGAAGAGTTTCTGGTAATGTGTCCATATTACGTGTATAATAAATTGTACAGGTTGAAACTTTTAACCGGGACTCTCTGGTCCAGCAACCAGACCACAATGTTCCAGGACCAGAGTGTCCCAGTGGAGGGCTTGCACTTGGAAGCCTTGCAAGTTGGCTGGGCAGCGGGGCTTCCTGGCAGGGCTGCAGGAGCCTCACGTGCAGCAGAGGGAGCCTGGCACAGAGGCTGTGAGGCTGCCTGGAGAGGCAGCAGGAGCCAGGCTCTGCAGCAGGAACCCAGTGTGGTACTGAGAGCTCAGTTTGTGAAGGCAGTGAGGCTGCTGGGAGCTGCAGCAGGAGCCTGATGCACACACAGATGGCAGGGCTGCCTGGCGCAGTAGTAGGAGCCCAGCGAACAGAGGCAGCAGGGCTGCCTGGTAGTGCATCAGGGGCTGACAGGGCAGCGGGACCAGCAAGAGTGGGGAGCGAACTGGGAGGCGAACAGCAAGAAGGGGGAGCGCAGTGGTCGGGCCAGGGATGGAGGGGACTGGCGGCTGGGGGGCTGGAAATGACCACCTCTAATCCGGCAAAATCCCTCATCCGGAACCGGTCAGGTTCCTAGGTTGCCAGGAGGTCCAACCTATAGTAACAAAGGTTAGTGTGTCTTATCAGATTATTTCCTGATAGCTACAGATTTCCTAATACTATATATCTCAGGGTTGGGCAAAATACGGCCCATGGTAGCCTCAGACAGGCTCCTTGCCTGCCCCACTCCCACAAGGTGCTCAGAAAAGTCCGCAACTAGGCTATATGCCACCTGTAACCCCAGGGGAGACTTCACGTGCTGCCCCTCCCCCCAGCTCAATGTCACAGCTCCCACTGGGAGGTTATGACCAATGGGAGCTGGCTGTTTGAAAAATAGGCAGCATATGAAGTACTCCTCTCCCTCCTTCCCTTCGGTTCACAGCATTCAAAGCAGCACACGTGGATCCTGCAGCTGAATATGTGAGTGGTCTGTGGGAATATGGAAGGCAGAGAGGCTGCTTGTGGGACCTGCTGGGCTTCTGGTCAGGAGCCACCCAAATAAAGCATATGCAGCATGCAGAGACAGGGCAGGCAAGCAGCTGGCCTGAGGGACCTGCTTGGATGCTGGCCAGGAGCTGCCTAGGTAAGTGACTCCTGACCAGAGCCTGCCTCTAGCACCCCAATTCCTTCCTCCTCCTCAACCCTACCCCATGTTACCCATACCCTCTGAACCCCTGCTCCTGCACCCAAATTCTACACCCCAATCTCCTGCCTCAAGCCACAACTTCCTTCTGTCCTCGGTCACAACCCAAACTTCTACCCCTTACACCTCCTCCTCCACCCTGATCCCTTCTCCCAAGCTCCCTTCTGGACTTAACCTCCATCCCAGAGCCCACACCTTCTCCTTTAATACCCTAGAAGAGTGTAGTTCTTGACCACTTACCAAGTTCTTGGAGAGTGGCCCCCATGAAAAATTATTGCCCACCCCATGTATATGCCTTTTATGTGTGGCTATGAGATTAACATTTTATGAAGACATTTCTGTGGCAAACAAAGCACTATAGGTAGTAAAAAGACCATAATGTATTTGATGTTGTTTCCTGAAGGGATGTCAGACGTCTAGTGGTTGCTATGTCAAGAGCCCGGCTTGGGCTTTATATCTTTGCAAGAGTATCCCTCTTCCAGAACTGCTTTGAGCTAACTCCAGCTTTCAGTCAACTCACAGCTCGACCCCTTCAACTGCATGTAATTCCCACCGAGTATTTTCCAACAATCAGACAGGTAAGCACATCCGTTCTAAATTGTATTACATAGAATAGTGTATTAGCAGTCCACATTCTTCACTGAGGCATAAATAAGAGGCAGGACTGCAATGCTTCCTCGTTATAGACAAATGCCTTTCGGATGATTATGGCTCAGGAATTTACTATTTTGTGGTAGCTGTCATTAATTGAATTGTTTTTTACATTTTAGTTATAGGCACAATTTTTATCAGTTGTGCATGTCTTCTCACTGAGCTTTGCTTGTGCAACACTGTGAATCTACAGTATAGTTCATTTTACATTAAATGCTTACATACAGTGAGTAAAGAATGTTGTATATTTTGTTCCTGCAAAATATATCTTTCTCTCAATGCATAGAGAACCCTCCATTACATTTTTAGAAGTTTCTTATCTGGATAAGAAGCTAGTCCCCTTTCCTCCATACAGTCTTGTTTAAAAAACATTTAATTTCACGTCTGTGCTTTTGCATGTCTTCCCTAACATGGGAAAAGCACCTTTCTCTAGATCCATTGTGATGTTCACATTCAGTAATACAGAAACTTTTCTTCTTTTCCCCCCTAGAATGGAGAAAGGCCTTCTCACCAAGTACATGTTATAAAGAACATGCCTCTGATGGCTAATTTTGTGTACAATATGTATATGCACACGATACAGAGTACACGCCACTACAGACAGGTAAGTAGACTTAGACATTTTGGAAAGCATTCATTTGAAATGTAATTTGCTCTAAAAAAAATAACCTATTAGGGGGATGCCTTTTGAGATGAGTAGGCTAAAATTTGATGTAGCTCCTCTTATTAGTTTCCGTATTCTGGGTAGCTTTTTAGATCAGTGAGGCCAGGAGGAAGTGATTCCTCTCTGTTTAGAAAAGTTTCCTGCAATGCAAGCACTCAAAACTCCCTTTGAATTAACAGATATGTATGAGTGCAATGGCTAGAAACAAAATGATGGAAAGGAATCTGATTTTATTACTGACAAAAGGTATTTGGAAGAAAGAGCAAGAAATTGTTCATGTTTAAAAAGCAAACACACAAAAAATATCACTAAAGTACTGAAAGACCCCCAAGAGTATCAATTCAGCAGTGACTGGGCAAAACAGTTGGAAGTTGCCGTAGGAGGACTAAAGAAGTAAAATTTACCATTTCTGAGCAGCAGCTTCTCTCTCTTTTTTTAAAAAAAAAAACAGTTGTGTAAAGTATGTAGGAGAGAGAATACAATGAAGTACTGTATAGTTAACAAGCTACTTACAAGTTAAGCTTTCCCACATAAAGAACGGCTTGTGGAAAATGGAACCAATCAGCAGCAGACCAAAAAGACTACAAATGGGGTTTTGATGAGCTGAAGACTGCGTATGGCCCACAGTGTGGTCATGAGTCTCTGCTGTGGAAGGACTGTAAACAAATTCTGAAAAGATGGGCTGAACACGTTAAGGTTCTGAATTGCCAGTTCACCACAATCCGTATCAGCACTAAGAATATAACCAGTAAGGTTTTCCTTAACCGTTAAATGCTATAGACGATACGTATTTCCTCCCCTGTCCTTCCTTCCAGTAAATTTTTTAGCCGGCTGGCCAGCAGCCCAGCTTAGTCCTGGTTAGGGATGTTAAATATAGTTTAATCAACTAATCGACTAGTCAATGGATTTTTCGTTGGATAGCCAATTAGTCAATAAGCAGGGGAGCTGCAGTGGGCTTACTTCCTGATCCTGACAGCTAATCCCATTGTGGCTCTGCCTTTTAAATGTATTAAGAGCCTATTGGCTCTTAATACATTTAAAAGGCTGAAGCGCAGCAGGGGAGACCCAGTGGCCAGCTTGCACTGTGTCCCCCTGCTGAGCTTCTGATTTTTAAATATATTAGGAGCCTCTGGGCTTTTAATATGTTGAAAGAGCTAAAGCACAGCAGCGGGGACCTGGAGCAAACTGGGAATCAGTTACCCCAGCTTGCGCTGGAACCCTCCCACTGCACTTCTGATTTTTAAATGTATTAAGAGCCAGCAGTAGAAAAAAAGCAGAGTTACAGCATCTGGGACTGAGTGCGAGTTGGGAATCAGCTGATTCCTGGCTTGGACTGGTCCTTGCTACTCTCCTGCTCCGTGAGGAGACAGTGCTGGGGCGGGGGACTGGCTTTTAAGCTGGCTCCACCTAGCACCGGCTCCTGCTCCCCCTCTTTCTCTCCTCTGCCTCTGGAAAACTTCAGTGTTGTCTTTTGGACTGAACACACTGCCAGACTGCAAAACAAAAATTGAAATTTACTGATCTGTGCCATTGACTGTGATATGTGGACTATCAACAACGTGTAAAGTACTTGGGCCAGTCCCACCTGTGATGTATACAGTGGATATTGGGAATTAAATAGCAAGATTTGGTTTCAAATATCAAAGTCCTTGAGTGCTGCAATATCACAGGCATTGAAGCTTTTATAATAATTCAGTGAGGCTGGTGAAGTCGTGTGGTTAGCATATCAGATAGTAGAATACTGAAGAGCGTTTATTATGGGGAATGGCAGACTGGAACTCGTTTTAGGAGCAAACCAAGAATAAGTGACTGACTAGCTCATCCATCACTCAGTGGAAGACTCCATTATTATACAGTATGTGATCACTATTTTTAAAAATAAACAGTTGAAATAATACAAATCTTCGTTTAAAGGAAAATAGAATGTACACATCCTGGCCTGGACTATGCTAGACCAGGCACATCAGTTAAGTTATGCCTTCAAGCTACACCAAATGCATAGCTGGGTTTGGCTTGCCTTATGCTGAGCCACTGCAATGTCTACCCTGCAGGAGGTTGACTGTCAGCTTCCCTTACTCCTCACAGAATGAGGAATACAGGACACCGGCAGGGCCTGCCCTCAGCATTCAATTTGGGAGTCTACAATAGACCTGCTGGATCAAACGCTAGAAGATTGACCGCAAGAGGGTCGCTGTTCGCCATAGTGTAGACAAGCCCCCTGTGGTTTGGAGTTTGTCTCCTAGTTACTCTTACTCTTCTAATATCACCACACTCTCATTTGAGGCAGACCAGCCCACTCCTTTTCTCCACAACCATTATCTGACTATCTCCCACAACTACCCAAAACCTGTGTAAGCGTGTCTTTCTGTCTCCTGTTACGTGGCAATGGTGGGGTTCTTCAGTTCCATATGGAGGAGTAGAGAGATGGTTCAACATTTATGCAGAGTCAGAGTTTGCTAGTAGTCAATTAGGGAGAAGAATCTAAGTATTGATTAACAGCCATCACAGTAATCAGTGAACACTAATTTTTGCAAACATTTCTCTGCCTCATTCCCTGTTTTTATCTCTCCCTCCACATTTATTAACCTACTGCTTATTGTCTTAAATTGTAGTTTGTGAGCTCTCTGGGACAGGAATTGTCTTTATGCTAATTTGGAGAGTGGGGGCTTTGATCATTGACTAGGGTCCTTTGCTGCTACAGCAGTCAAAATAATAAAAATAATCATTAAGTAGTGTTACATGCGAGAAACAATTGTGTGTGATATCAGGCACAAATGATATTTTACACTTGCATAACTCTTGACACCTAAGGCTGCGTCTAGACTGGCCGCAAGTATTTGCGCAAGAACACTGACTTTCTACTGTACAAAATCAGTGGTTCTTGCGTAAATACTCCTACGCTCCAGCTCAGGGATAAGCTCTCTTGCGCAAGTATTCTTGCGTAAGAAGGCCAGTGTAAACAGCCAAGTTAATTTCTTGCGCAAGAAAGCGTCTACACTGGCACGGATGCTTTTGTGCAAAAGCAAATCTTTTGCGCAAGGGCACATGCTAGTATAGACGCGGTCTTGCGCAAATACTTTTAACGGAAAAACTTTTTTCCGTTAAAAGTATTTGCGCAAAATCATAAGAACATAAGAACAGCCGTACTGAGTCAGACCAAGGGTCCTTCTAGCCCAGTATCCTGTCTGCCTACAGTGGCTGGCACCAGGTGCCCCAGAGAGGGTGGACCGAAGACAATGATCAAGTGGTTTGTCTCCTGCCATCTCTCTCCAGCCTCTGACAAACAGAGG